GCTGACTTAACCTTTTAATTGCCACTTTCTGTGTCTTTGTGAATTTACCAGCAGTGTGTTATTCATGACCTTGTATTGTTTACAGTGCAGAGGTCACTGTGAGAAAGTGTGCATACAGATGCGCTGCGCTAACATCTACATCACTTTTTCCACAGCAGAGGGTTAATCGTGGGATCTAATCACATGATTTACAGCAGGACACACCGCTGGCTAATGTTTTTTCTTACGACAGGGCTTGGAGTGAAACTACTCCAGGGGAGAAGCCTGGGGAATTTTTAAGAGACAGTGCACAACTTTATTGTGCATGTCTAATTGTGATAAGCTGACATAGGCCAAAAGAGGGTTTTCTGGGGAAGTTTTCATTTTTAAATTGCAGAGACCGTGACATGAGGGATATGGAAGGATTGACTGAGGTGCAAATGTAGACCATGACCAGGAGAGAAGGCTTCAAGGGGACCAGTGAGAAGCAGGGACCATCTCCAGGACAGCTGACAAACGACAGTGGGCTGCACAACTGGGCTGCACCACTGGGCTTCCAAAGGATTGTCATGAGGAGATTTTGAACAGCAAAATCTTAAAATAAAATGAAAGAGTTTCGATGTTGACGTTGAGGAAGACAACTAAGGTGTACGACGTGCTCTGCCTTAAATCGTCCGTGGCGTTGGAACAGAAATCGAGGGATGGAGAGAGCGTGCCAAGCTCCAAAAGTGACAGCGCAGAGGGAGATCAGCGTTGGAATTATGACTCTGTAAATGGCACAGACACCAGGAGCCATGACCGTGACTGAGAATGACCACCTAATGCTGTTTCACTTTGCCATGCAAAGTACTTTGACACTCTGGAGAACACCTTTCCTCTGGATCATTGTTGTTTCCATTTGCATGTGAGAGCTTAGATTGTGGGGAAGATTAAAGATGAACAAAGGGTGGTGAGAGAACAGTGACGTGAGGATACACAGTGTGAAACTCCTTTAAGTGTACAATAATGTTGATGTGATATACAGAATGTCAGGAAAGAAATTCTGGTATTAATGTGATTCTTGATTTAAGAATCAAAGGGTGGGATTGTATAGGAATTTCTTTTACTTATGTACTAATCACATTATTTTATTGTAGAATGCCTTGGTGCCACTGGATTTAAACAAGTCTCACACTCATACATTAAGACAAATGGTGGGGGTGTAGTAAGGAAGTTGGGGGAAGCAGACAGCTCCACAGGAAGAGTCTTTTGTCTCTTTGAGGACTCTGGTAGGTAGCAAGGGAGTGTGAACCTTAAGGTGTGAAACAGCCTTTTGTTCCTGGAGAAGGTATTTAACTGAGAGCCACGCTAGGCTCAGAGAGACTCTGCTGACCGTCTGCCCCGCGGTCATGCAGGCTCTCCACAAGCTTGGTTTTCTGTTCTTTGTGTGTTTGGATTAAAGAATGTTAGCTACCGCTCACCGCTCGTCTGCAGGCTTTATTTAAATGGAAAACTTCCACAACAATATGCAGAAGGCTGATGTGACAGAGAAAAATGTAAGGGACCGGGTGAGGTGGAGGCAGATGATCTGCTGTGGCAAGTCCTAAAGGAATAAGGTAAAAGAAGAAAAACTGTCAAATGACAGAATAAAAGACAGCTGTAGAAACAGCTGTGGAAATTGTTTGCAGTTATTGTGTCAGTTAATCAGGGACTACAGCTCAAATTTATCTAAGTACCTCACACACTCATCCAGATATGATTAAAAGTAATAGTGTTTCAGTTGTTTACCTTTGAGATTTGATTCAATTCAATTTAATCTAATTTTATTTATATAGCATCAAATGACAACAGTCACCTCAAGGCACTTAATATTGTAAGCTCAAGACCCTACAACAATACAGAGAACCCCCAACAATCAGACGACCCCATTTGAGCAAGCACTATGGCGATAGTGAGAAGGAAAAACTCCCTTTTAACAGGAAGAAACTTCTGACAGAACAGGGCTCAGGGAGCGGCGGCCATCTGCCGTGACAGGCTGGGGGTGAGGGGAAGGAGACAGGACAAAAGACATGCTGCGGTAGAGAGCCAGAGATTAATAATTACTCATAATTAAGTGCAGAGCGATGTTTAAACACATGGTGAGTGAAAAGAGGTCAGAAAAGGAGAAATGCTCAGTGCACCATGGGAAGCCCCAAGCAGCCTAGGTCTATTGCAGCATAACTTAGGGTAGATTCAGGGTCACCTGATCCAGCCATAACTATAAGCTTTGTCGCAAAGGAAAGTTTGAAGCCTAATCTTAAAAGTAGAGAGGGTGCCTATCTTCCGAATCCAAGCTGGGAGCTGGTTTCACAAAAGAGGCCTGAAAGCTGACTCCCATGCTACTTTTAAATATCCTGGGAAGCACAAGTAACCCTGCAGTCTGAGAGCGAAGTGCTCTGTTGGGATGATATGGTAGTATGAGTTCTTTAAGATAAGATGGGGCCTGATTATTCGAGACCTTAAATGTAAGGAGCAGAATTCTCAATTCAATTCTAGATTTGTTAGCAAGTGAATGAAGAGAAGCCAATATAGGGAAAATATAAAAAATATTTTTAAAAACAATTTTGGTACCAAGAATCAATTTATTGGTTTGGAATCATAAGAAATCAAAAGTAATGAAGAAGTTTCAGCGCCTGATGTTGTTATGCGAGACAGATTTTGTGGTTTGAATGAAACCTTTTAGTAATACGTTTGGTCTCTGCTGAGACTGCACGACCTGCCCTTCACTGCTCTACTTTCACAAACAAGGTTTTTCAAAATACACAGAACTCTGTCACGCTGTTGATATCAAAAGGTGATTAAATGCGCAGTGACTTTGCGGCCCTGCTGTTTCACTCACACACTCACTTTCTTGAATCTCATCACACAAAACCCAGCGCTCCACTCCTCCGGCTAACAAGTCATTGGAGCACCATCTGTGGCTGTTAAAATATGTATTTCTACTTTGTTGTCATTTAGTACCTCAGCCATAATGAACAGTGAACCATCTCCAGGGGTGGTGGAGATGTAGATATAAGGCTAAGTCTAAAACCTGCAGCTGGTGTTCTCTCTCCCCCCTCCACCCCTGCAGTCTTAACTTATTACGCCGCTGTGGTTTATGGTCCATGCATGATGAGTGTGCTGCTGGGTCAGGCTGTGCGACACAAACAGAGAGAGACAGGCAGAGAAAGAGGGGCCAAAACAATTTAAAGCTGGACCAACAGAAAATTGATATATTTCTATCTACTGATAAGTGAAATGCTGTAAAAAGGCTTTTTTTTTTTTTACAACATGAGAGAAATGGTAGTGGGAGGAACAAAAGCACACGGAATGAGTTTTCAGAAATGACCCAAAAAAAGGAGTGTGTCAGGAGAAAGAGTGAAATAGTGAGCAAAATAAAGTGATGTGGCCATGACACTGACAAAATAAGCAGGTGGGGAAATCAAAAGAGGAAGGAAGTGACACGATACAAGCAGCCGTTCTATTCAGATGCAGCTGCAGAGCAAAGACCCAGGTAATGGGGAGCACAACAAGATGGCATTATAGAGAGAAGCGGAGCGAGAAGACGAAAAAAGGAAATCTGCTGTATAGAGACGAAGCTGACAGCAAACAGGAGGACAAAGAGAGAGAGAGAGAACAGAAATGAGCAGAGACATGAGTGCATTTAAGCAAGAGAAGAGAGGCGCAGCGGGAGGAAAAGGAGCAGAAAGGATATGATACGGCGGAACAGCTGAGGAAATTAAGCTATTTTAGTGAAGCTGTAGTGTATAGAGGATCTGATAACTTGACATCACCTGCGCCCCCTCATCCATCCAGCTACAGAAGAAAGAAAGAATCTGTCTGCAACTCACTCTCTTTACTGTCTTTCACCTGACCATCTTTCCATCAAAATGCAGCAGAACCACAAATAATGGTGCAGATTGCTTCCTTTGTCACTTTTATGGTAATGTGCCACATTATCATAAAGATGTGTCACAAAGTGTCACAGAGAGGGCTACAAGGATGCAGACTGCAAGAATGAAATACTGAAAATGGACAAAGACGATGGTGTTGGTTCTTCAGCTAAGAAAAGTCAAGGAAGAGAATGAAGAAGAAGACATGAAAAGAACAAATAGAGCATCTGGTCTCATATCAGGGAGGTGTGGAAAAGGAGAATAAAACCACGGAGAGAACTTTTACATCTGTTTCAGTTAAAAATTGCAATGGCTTATTACACATAAAGAGTCACATCAATTCGTCTCCATTTTCCTCTTTTTTCGTTAACTCCAGCGAAATGTGGACGATCTCAGACCTGCCTCCACGTTTACAGATGACCTGAGCTATAAAATAACTGCTCAGTTAGATAAAGAAGTTGCGGAATCAAATTGTCTCTCCGATCTGCGTTCCACATCTTTCTCTCTCCCACACCTGGCTCCTGTCAGATGTGCGTGTGTGTACGAACAGACGTGGCTCAGTTCCAGGATGATCGTCACGGTGTACTGAACACCAAATTAACTATGAAGTAACAATGTGCTTTTAGAGCATGCAAAGCAAATTAACTGCCGTCTTCAGCTTAGATTAAAATACATATGTTGATACCTCTCCAGAGCAACACCGTCCTCGTTTTCGTGGCCAAGCTCCCTAAGAGGAAATATTTTACCATGAATAAAATGTGAGGATTAAATATTTAAAAGTCGGAAAGGTGAAAATCTGCATTGTAAATAAGGTCGACTTCACTTTATATGTGTAATATTGATGCTGATAGAGTTTCAGTAAACAAGAGGAGATCTGATCACTCTTACTACAGCGAACCACTTCGGTACAGTGATGCGCAACAGAGGCGCGCCAATTCTCAGAGCAGCACCACATTTTCCTCATCATCACAACAAGTTCACCAAACAACAGACTCAACACATTTGCACACCGTACGGAGACAAGAAACTCTGATTTTCCAAAGAGAAATTAAACACTGCTCTGTGCGGTCTGCGCTGCCCGCACTCCCCGCATATCCTCCGGGAAAAGTAAGACGCGCACAGCCGGCTCACCTTCTCCGGTTGTCCCGTAAGAGATGGAGAGAAGCAGGGCGACGTGAGCGATAATCCAAGCGACTCTTTTAGTCCCCAGATCCATGATGAAGCGGCAGGAGGCTGCAGAGGAGAGACGGTCGACCTCTCCTCTCCAGCTACAAGAGAGATCTCCTCAAGCGCGAGGCAAGCGAGGAGGAGGAGGACGGGGCAGAGAGAAAATAAGAGAGGGAGAGAGGTGGCTGAAGTGTGTTGTGCAGTCCCGTCTAGTTTATCAGAACTTAAATATTTCTGGATGTTTCAGTCAAAGATAATTGTTCTCAGGTTGTTGTTGTTTTTTTTAGCTATATGCTAATATCACCATGCTAAAATAGTCATTGTCATTTATGTTTAGCTACCCACTGTAAGAGTGACTTTTCTTGACTATGGCTCAGGAGGTAGAGCAGATTGTTAACCAATCAGATCTTTGGTGGTCAGCTTCTCCAGTCTGCATGTTTAAGTATCCTTTATCAACACAATGAACTTCTGCATCCTGAGTCCAATTTGAATCCACACACACACACAAAAAAAACCCACACTCCTGTGGTTTCTGAAGACATTTAGAAAATCTGGAGAACTATTGCCCAGCACCAATTTTAAAGATTACAAGAAAATCTGTCCCCTTAAATTCAAAATATAAAGAAATGAGAGATGGCTAAACCCTTTTGAATGTTACTGTATATGAACCAGTTAGCCCAAAACAGCTAAAATAAATTATATAAAGAACATCTGTTCATACAGAGTTGTGTAGCAGTTTGGTGTCATATGAAAGTGAATAATATCCACAAGCAATAACCGATGATGCATTTAGTCCAAACTAGATACAATGGGAGCAGCAGTGACACTGAGGACTGTGTTTCGGAAGAGATAACAGAGGAAGTACATGACTGTATAACCCCAGGGTGAGTGTAACATGTACAGCATGTACAGCAGTGTGAAAGACAATAGCAGGCAGTGAGCATGACAGTGAGTGGGAGGCTGATCATACCGACTTCTCGGGAAATAACCAACCGAAATGAGAAGATTTGTATGGTCATATTCAGGTCGTGAGAGATTCCAGTTCTCTGATCAGAAACAGCAGAAACAAAGGAAGATGGGTTCAATATAAAACCAACTGTGCTAAATAAATCGAGCAGTTATATGTCATTCCTGAAGGGAAGGGTTGGATTTTGCTGGCAGATGAAATCAAGTGTCAATCTGTATCATTTGTTATGGCCTGATAGCGGCAACTTTATGCAGATATTATTCTCTTCTGCAAGAATCAGATTCCTTACAGATTAAGAACATAAATTAAATGAATGCCAATGAAGACTTTTGACCTTATTGTGGGTCATAATTATTCACCACTGCCTGCTGAGTAACACTGAAAGAGTGAAGTGGTTTTGCTCAATTTAAATTCAGTTGGGTTCTGTATATTTAAAGATCATCACAAAAGAACCACAGAAACCTTTCACACCACTTGATTCCAAACCACGAGGGCTGAATATGCAGACATATTAGGATAATTTATGGATCATTGCAGATTCCTTTTTTTTAATGTTTTTGGACAATAAGAACTTTGGATGATTAACATCCCCAGCCCCAGAGTTCACCTGCAATCTGAAACAAGATCATTGAACTCCTCTTCCATTAAGTTCCCTTTAAGAAAATGTTCTTTTGCCTGGCTGCACGTTGTAAACAGAAAGTTTTAACAGCAGGTGGGTGGTGCTGCTGTGCTGACAGCCAGAGCCGAGTGCCTGAGATGACAAAATTATCAATAGCTGCTCCCAGTGACATCATACACAGCCAAGATAATAAAAAAAATGATTGAAACTAAATGTTTAGAACAATCTAAAGCCTGCGCTTATGGATCACAGCCTTTGGCTCACTATTGAAAACTTAGGCTATGTTTGTGAGGACATTATTGACAATAAGCATAGAAAATGTGGATTAAATACTCTCTGCAAAGGCTGAAGTCAGCAAGTAGTCTGCAAATTACTAGCTTTATCCAGCCTGCAGGAGATGACTGTTGAATTGTTGGTAGCAACATAGCCACAATCGTACTGCAAGCATAAAAATAGTTGCAGCTCAAACTCCAGAATACATTGTATATAACTCTAAAGGCTTCTGTTATGAAATATAACAACTGGCTGGGGGGTAAACACTATTCTTCTTTACTCCTCTGAGCCCATTATTTTCTTCATGTCATTTTGAAAGTAATTATGTTAAAATTGTATGTATCTGGACCAACATCTCACAGAATTGCACATGTATTCCAGCAAAATAAGAGCAGCGTGTAGCAGCATTAGGAATAATGCAAATGGAGTGATAGTCCTGTGTAAAAAAATGCACCCCAATTTTCATGCAGCTCACGGAGTTGGCCATGAAAACCTTGAATAAAACAGCTCTGTGTTAGCTCAGATGCACACCCCTTTCAGTGGACAAGAGGGGTAACTGAGAACCTACACGGGAGAGGAGCTCTTGGTTGCATTCACTGGGATTTGTACATTAAAAGAAAGAGCCCTGAAAACAAAGACGAGAGGGGAAGGCGTGCAGAGATTGTCGGCAGGGGAATCTGATAATGAAAACCTACTGAGAGCGTAGACAGCAGGGGAGTCAGATGATAAAAAACCTGTTGAGAGAAAACGGCAAGACATCAGGGGAATCAAATAACACTGAAGTCAGTTTCTGAGGGAGGGGGAAAGAGACAGAGAGAGATGACCACACCTTGCATGTGGACAACACTCAACATGAGTGTCTGACCCCTGGTTGGCCTGTGGACACGTCTCATACGGAGAAACCATCTGGCTTTTTAATGCTCACATCAGCCGAATAAGAAATTTTTAAATGATTTGAATGTGAGATATGCCACAAGCCATTTAATGGTTCTGTCACTTTTGTCTGAAGCTGATGTCTGTAGCGGAACAAGGCGATGTCAGTTTTTGTTTACTTCTTCTCGTCTTTAAGTGTTGAAAAATCATTTCACAATCTTTAGCTTAGAAAAAACCCCAGAATGAGCCGTTTCTGTTTTGTTAGGGAAAGATTAGTTGTTGCTGTATCTCAAAGGTTTGATAAAAATCATTTGGCGGTCCTGTGTGTGACTGAGCCACAATGGGGAATGTGGGAAAAGCAATTTGTTTCATTTCAAAGAGAAACGTCCTTTACATCGTATCCGTCTGAGCTGTGGTTTCATGGAAACGCGTGCAAAATGACATCAGGACCAAAAGACTTTAGGATTTTTGTCACCATTAAGCCTTGGGTAATGACTTTGTTAATGGCTTCTCAGAAATTTGTCATTCGAGGAGAAGTTTATTTGCAACTCCAAAACTGTGAGGCTGTGACTCTCTGCAGAAAAAAAAGGGGTTGGATTAGTAAGTTAAGGAGTTTAATTTTCTTGCAAGCCTATTCACAAAGTAGAAGCTTGATAGATGGATCAAGAATGTCAGTCTTGTTGGTGCACTAAGGTCGATAGGGAGCAAAGCCTGATTTACAAAGTGCCAGTTAAGGTTTTGAATATACTAACAGATAAGGGCTCCACAAGATGTAAGAGCCTGGTGAAGTCAAGCATTGAGCCGGCTGCCTCACGAACACCAAACCTACTTTTTATTTTATTTTTATTTTATGTGATAAAGTTCACTTGTGCCTTGGGATTTTATGCCACACATACATCATTACTGGAATATATACAACTGCAGAAAAAATAATAAAAATAATCCTACACTTGTATGTTGTTGACGCTCAGTTAGAAAACAGAAGCAAATTGCAGAAAATTGGTTTAAAAACCTTTTATAAAAGAGATATGTCTTATTGCCACACGATGAGAGTTACTGCAGCATGACATGTCATAGACCCTGACCGTTATGAAAGAGGATATCTATATATCCATGTGGTGGAACCTCTGTTTTTAGTAATCCGTAACCCACAGCTAAATACAAGTATGACCCAAAACCTAAAGAACAGAAAAAAATCAGTAGAAACTATTGTGAAGAGCTGCCAATCTTCCTAGACACCATCTGTGCCTAATCTGGGAATATTTACAATTTATGACTCAGTTGCAGGGCTGGCCAAAAGATTGGCCATGACTAAATATCATAACACAACTGACGATGTATGTTAGACCTTTGGCTGACTTGTAGCAGCCACATTCAGACTGTTAGCAGAATCAGTCAAAGCTGAATGAGGCCAAATGGGTCACAGAATGACAATGAAGATTGTAAGTTTCTTATTGTTGGGTATCTTATGAAGGAAGTGTGTATACTTGTGGAACTTGTAGCAAAGCAAAAAAGTTGTAGTTGCCACTCTAGGTCTAGATGATTAAAAGTGCCTTCGTCTGACAACACACTCAAAAGAGCTGACAGCCTTTCCATAGATGCTGTTTTGCACAGATATGAATGCAGGTGTGCTTTGCTCTATGGTTTGTCTTGGGAACACAATACTTGAAAACCACTGGTGGATCCTATAATAGCGGGATTTTTACCTCAGACTTCAACTGCTCTGTTATGTCCAGTGTTACACTAGTAGTTAGTTACGTTGTATTCTATGTCTCTTTCCCATTTTCACATATAGTAGTCTGTCTTTGGAGCTTATGGTTCTAGTCTGACAGCCACAGGTCAGAGGCCAACATCCTCCAGTTCCTGTGGATTCCTTTCACTCAACTATCATTTACTAAAGTCAGCATGCACTTTTTGTGTAACGCTTTAAATAGACTCAAACAAGTCCAGGTGAAGATTCTTTATTTCTCTTTATTACCAGCTGGTTGTGTTTTCGTCAGAATCATCTGAATCTCTTTATCTCTCTCTCTGTCTCTCTCTGTCTTGTGCGCGTACATGCGTGCGTGTGCGCATGTGCGTGTGTTTTCCACTTACTGGAACAGCAACTACCACAAAGGTGGTTTTGTGTGCTTTGGAAGAAATTTATATGTCTGAAGATGGATGTGACTCATGAGTACTTCACACAGTAAATGGGACTGAAATCAGAGGGCCAAGAGACTATTAGCCCCATGCTTCATCCCCCTATTCTACTTTCTTTCAAACTTTTACTACAACTCTCCATATGAAGAAGTAATCGCAGTAGCATCAATATAAATGTTATCACCATCTGAGTGCATGCACATTTATTTTTTCTGCCATCATGGCAAAATATGGTCCTGGAGACACATAATGTGATTGGAACAAGCACAAAGGCAGTTTTGAGTATTTTGGCAGGTGTTTATGTGTGTGCAGACAGATTTTGTCACATCCTTGCAACCTGCAGTTGCAAAACTTGACAGGTGTGTAGCTGACATCAAAATGAAGGCTCATCGGCTTCACAGCTGGTGTCATCCCCTCGCAAGATGGTTGCTGGCTCATTTAGTTTTAGTTTGTTATTTTTCTGTTAGCACAGCATAAAAG